CCATGGCCCAAAGATGCCCTGGAGCTGTGCCAGGTTAGACAGTGCCCAGGGGCACTGTGGCCCTGGCCTTCCCCACCTCAAACCACAGGGCACTCAGCAAGGGAGTGGCAGCCTGTTCCAGCCTGGAAAGAGCGCCTCCAGGAGGGTAGTGCGCTGACCTGACCCACAGGTGGACAGCATCTCTCTCCCGGGGTGGGCCTCCCCTGGGGCCTCAGAGGGCTAATCCCGCACCTCAGGAATTTCCAGAAAGGACTCACTAGGGGAATTTCCCAGACAGGCAGACAGGCAGACAGGCAGACAGGCAGCCACCTCAGCTCTCACCACTGAGCACAGATGTTTGCCTGGGGGTGGCAGTAGCAGGAGCCAACAGAAGCACACAACTGGCTGCCAGAGGTAGTCCAAGGCCAGAGCCAGACACCAGCTGCCTGGGCAGGCTGGGTCCCGGGTGGGCAGGGAGGGGGCAGGAGGAGCCGCATCTGGGAGTGGAAGTCCTAGCCATGTCTCCTCCTGGGTGGGCAGAGTACCTGCAGCCCTCCTCTGGGTCTGGCAGGTCATGGTGCAGCTCTAAGGGTCCACCAGGGAGCACGGTGGCCAGTGGACAGCAGCCTGGGCTGCAGCACCTGGCCAGTATGTTGTATAAAGTGTGACTTGTCTAATAGTTCCCCTACTGGTCTAGGGGCTTCCCAAGGGCAGGGATTTTATCTCAGACCCACCCTTACCCTCGGTAACAACACCACACCTGAGGTGCCCTCCCAAGTCTGACAAATGACGCCCCACGCACAAATACATGGATCGTAGAGTGAGGGGATCAAAGCCTGAAGTGAGAGTACTGGGAACAGCTCTAAGTCAGGGAGGGCCCCCACCTCTTCCCCATCCGGCTTGCCCCAGCCCTGCCCCAGACCCAGACACAGGCAGAGTGGAACGGACGTGGCCCCGCCGGGCTGGGCTCAGCGCGCCAGAACCTGCCCGACCAAGTGGCGCAGCCCTGGGACTCCACACGTTCCCGCCCCCAGGCCGTGCTCCCGATCCGCAACGCAAGGCCACCCTCCCCGGAGAGCTACCAGCACTCTCCCCTACAAAGGCCTCTTAGAGCAGTAAGTCTCCAGAAGCTCGGCCCCTTCACTCGACAGTGACTTCACTCCCTCCACCAGCACGTATTGACGATCTGCCGCACGTCCTCGGTGCCGGGCTAGTCCAGCGGAGCCGCCGTGGGCTCAGACCCTGTGCGGCCGAACCGCGATTCTCCGGGACACACGCGCGCGGATCGGGTGATCTCTCCAGGGGCACGTAGGAGGCCCACACCCAGGTGTCCTCCCAGGTGAGCTAAGCGCTCGTGAGGCGTCGCCCCGGGGCTGGGGGGCCGCTGGACTTCGGACCCGCGGGAGCAGGCGGGCTGCAAGTCTGCAACCGCCGGGCTGGGCGCGCCGCCTGGGGAGGAGGCGCGGGGGAGGGGGAACCCAGACATCGGCTTAGGCTCGGGAGGTGTTTACAGTCCGCGGGGTGGCTCTCTCCCACCGCAGCCCGCGGCCCTCGGAGGCCAGCCCCGGCCTTCCCGCCCCAGGCTCCTCCCCCGCAGGACCTCTGTGCCCGACTGGCAGCGGCGTCGCGGCCGCGTGTAATTACAGGCGCTGTCGTCAGGCCCGGCAGTAAAAAAAGAGGATGAAACGTCCTGGGAAGCAGGGAGCTGGGCCTGAGCCGGCCAGGAGTCCCGGGTCTGCGGCTTCCCGCGATGCGCAGCGGCGGGGAAGAGCCGGCCGGGGAGGCGCAGACATTCTCGAGGCCAGCCGGGCGCGCAGACAGCCACGCAGTGACACGCAGACACACAGCATCGGGCCTCCCTCCCCAGACACGCACAGTGGCCCCGGCAAACACCTGTCCTCCCTCGCGCCAACCTTTCTCCAAAGGGCTGCAGATGCCGACGGGGGAGCCCCGGGAGGCCGAGCCCCGCGGGCTCGAGTGCCCGGCGAGGGGGAGGGGCCCGCCAGCCCGGAGCCGCCGCCGCCCGGCGGTCCCCGCCATGCACACTCCCGCCCCTCCGCACACGCCCCGCTCGCCTGTGCACCTTTCCCCTCTTCACACGCCGTTCACTAACATTAGCACGCGTACGCCAGAGCTGCACACGCTTCCCCACACGCGGCTGTGAAGCTACACACACATGCCTTCACGCTCGCGTGCCAGCACACGTATTTACACATGCCAGATGCACATGTGTGGTTACAGTTTGTCACCCTGGGTGAATGCCCAGATTCTCACAGTCCAGATTAAAAACCCTTTCGCGCGGTGCACACGTGTGTTGGCACACAAGCGCGCACACAAATACACGCGTCATTAGCATTAGAAACGGGAGAGACTTTTCTCGGACCCGGGAGCCCGAGTGTCCCTCCCTCTCGCAGGCGATGATGGGCAGAGGCGCCCTTCGCCCCAGCCGCACACGTTTCACACCTGATCACACAGGGTCGCACTTTATTCCCGGCATCGAGACGATGACACAATCTTCCGAACAAAGACAACATTGACAATCTCAACGAAAACAAACAGCCGCGTGTGTGGGGAGGGGCAGCGGAGCGCAGAGTCCGGGAAAGGCGGGTGGGAGGAGGGCGGGAAGGCGGGCGCCGGAGCCCGGGTGTGCGGGGCTGGGGAAAGGTGTGGGCCGGGTAGAGGACCTTGCACCCCGCGCAAGCCGCGCGCGGAGCGGCACGACAGGATCCCGCACCGAGCGTTCGCAGATCTGCACGTGCAGCTGGCTCCCTTGTCCCGCACGCCCCCGAGCCCGGGGCCGCAGAGCCAGCGCCCCGCACCGGCCCATAGGGCCGCGCGCAGACCGAAGGGCAAGCCAACTCGCGGTGCAGGGCACCTCTGTCCCCGCAGACGCTCGCGTCCGGCTCCTCCTCTCCCTCTTCCCCCCTCCTCTCCCTCCCAGCCCCCAAGCGCAGGGGCCGCCGCGCTCCTGGCTGGGCGGTTCTGGGGGCGGGTCCGGGGGCGGGCCGGGCAGCGCTGGCCCCAAAGGCGAAGTCGCCGGGAGGAGGGGCCAGAGCAGTGCGCGGTGCTGCCTGCGCCGCCGAGACAGCCCGCGGGAACCCGACCCCGAGAAGCCCCTCGTCCTCGCCCGGCCCGGCCAGGCTCTGCGCTATGGAGTTCCTCTGGGCCCCGCTCTTGGGTCTGTGCTGCAGTCTGGCCGCTGCTGACCGCCACACCGTCTTCTGGAACAGTTCAAACCCCAAGTAAGCCCCGAGTCTCCTGCGCGCAGCCCGGGCGCCCGGTTGGCACTGCCCACGCCCCGGCCCCCTGCCTGGGTAACTGTGCTGGCCAGCCCCTGACCCGAGTCTTGTGGCAGTGACCAGAGGCGGGAGGGATTCCTAAGGTTTTTTTCCCCCTTTTCTCCCCATAACTGGGAGTACTCCGCCCCTGAGTAGGAACCTGCCCGGGACTACTTGCACAGGGTTATTTCTGCCGCTCCTTCCCATCCCTCTGTTACCCTGAAGTGCGGCACTCTTGCTGAACACTTCAGAGCTCTTGTTCTAGGTCCTTCTACCGCAAAACCCTCTGTGCCTCTTCTTGTGGGTCACCTGGACTTCTGCCCACACGGACAGGTACCCTAATGTGACATCAGGAGTAAGCAGAATGCTCATATTGTAACCCTGGAAGGACCCCTCAGGAGGGACCTGGCCCTTCCGGCTTTAAGCCTATGCATTCTGTGTTTGAGATGACCCTGGAAAGCTCCTCTCCACACACAAGAGATCTTTTGAGGTGGCAGGAGGGAGGTACGTGCTGTGTATAGGTAGGCTGAGGGAGGCACCCGGTTTTGAGATGGGGGGCGCACCTGGGAAAAGTTCAGAAAGAGTAGAAAGGATTAAAAGAGCCACAGAGGGCTCTGGGCAGGAAGGAGTTAACGTCTCCTGGGCAGGTTTAGGGCTGGGAGGCAAATGGTCCTGGGAGGAAGAAGCCCATCGGACCCTTTGTTCTTGCCCTTGAGTCTTCAGAACTTAAGGGAACAATATTTGTGGGAAAACGGGAGAAGGATGTGTAGGGGGTGGTAGGGCGGGGCAGGGAGAGAAGGGCTGGGCAGTGGGGTCAGGAAAAACACTTCACTCCACTTGGCCACCCTCAGCCCAGAACGCCTGACCCCCCCTCCCCTTGAGGAATTCCTTGAAGCAGCTTCCTCTGACCCAGTGGCAACACGGCCCGGTGAGGGTCTGTGGGCTGGGGCTGGGAGAGAGGGAGCAGCCAGCTGCTAACTCCGGAGGGCAATGCCCTCTTGCCCCCTGGCCACGGGGGCAGCCCGGGCAGCACCCCCTCCCTCCTTGCTTCCCGCTCCAACCTCGTAGTGGGAGAGAGCGAAGTCCTGTTATTGCCCATGCCAGGTGCGGGGGGGGGGGGGCAGGAAACCGTGAGGAGGGAGGGGGGAGCCCTTTCCGTTCCCAAGCTCCCAGATTTCCTCTCTTTCAGGAAGGAGCCTCTTCCTTGCTCCCCCTCCCCGCCTTCCCTGACGCCGCCGCTGCCCCCTTTTCCCAGACGGAGGGCCAGAGTCAAAGGAGCGCTAAGTGGAACAGATTGTCCTGGGGGGAGGGGGGCAGGTCAATGGGTGCCCCCACCCAGCACAAATTCTGCCTTGTCCATCTGGCTGCACGTGCGCACCCCCCTCCCCCCACCCAGAACGGGAGAGAAGCCGGCCAGAGGGCAGTGTACAGGCGGCCAGGCCGGGCCAGCTTGCAGGCCCCGAAGAGGCGGTGATGAGCTGGGTAGGGGTGAGGCCGGCCAGGGTGACTCAGGCCGTGGGCCCCGGCGCGGATCTCCAGCCCGGGGCGGGGGGGCTGCCGGGAGGTGGGCGCTGGCCTCCACGCCCCGCCCCATCCCCGCCGCCCGCGCAGACCTGCCCGAGCCCCAGGCCTGAGGACAGTGCCCGGGGCAAGTCCTGGCCCCGGGGGACCCGGGACCCCTCCACAGTGGACCGAGCTCTCCGGAGCGCCGGGGCGGGCGGTAGAGGTGGGTGAGGAATGAGTCAGTGCCCGTCACGGGAACCGGGGAAAGACGCCAGGCCCAGAGCTGAAATACCTGTTCTGAAATGGCTTCTATGTTTATCTCTCCAGAGAGGAATTTTAAAAGCCTCTCCCTCGGTCGCGCGCTCCTCCCCCCCACTCCCCCGCCCGGTGGGGGAGGGGGAGGGGTGGCTTGCTGCGCGCTGGCACGCGGCCCCGCAGCCGGGCTGCTGGGGCCGGAGGTGCCCACCCTGGAGGCCTCCCGTCCGAACTCCTGCCCTCCCCCCGCCCGTGCCCTTGCTCGTGCTCCGGTTGGCAGCAGGTTGGCAGCCGACCCTGCAGAGTCTCGCGGGCGGAGCTGGGGGAATTCAGAGTAGCAGGGCAGCCGAGCAGCGGGGAGGGAGACACCTCCCCCGCCGGGACCCCGCCGCACCCGGCTGAAGCCAGGTGTCGGGGCCCGCCAGGCTGGAGCCCTAGGGGCCCCGGGGGCAGGGCTGGGAGAGAGAGCCGGCTGCCCGGGGCGGCGGGGCTGGGAGGCAGCCTCCCAGAGAAGCCGGGCGGTGCTGGAGCTCCGCGCTTGGAGGGGAAAGTGTGGCTTGGGAGGCGAAGGGGCTGGGAGTTTTGGGGTACTTTGAGAGGCGGACACAGGTGTGAGCTACAACTGCGGAAGCTTGGTGGTGGGGGGGGGTTTGCTGTAAGTGGGCCGAAAGTGTCTGTAGGCCTGGTGTGCTGGGGGCAGGAGTGAAGCTGACCGGTGGACTGCGCTCGCTCGGGGAGTCTCCCGGGTGAGGCCAAGAGGAGTGAGGGACCGGGAACCGCAGGTGTGCTGGGGGCTGAGGCAGAGAGAAGGGTTTCCTCAGCCCTGATGGGAGGGTCTCAGCCCCAGGGCTAACAGCCTTTAAGGGAGCACCTGTGAGAACAGATTTGGGGAGATACTTCCTGTAGAAGAGCAGGATGAGTGAGCTATGACAGTCATTTGCCCTTCCTTGGGTAAATATCTGGGAAGTGCTTTGGTACCTGAAGGATCCTAAAGTGGATGCTATGTAGAGGATGAACAAGAGGTAGTGATGGTAGAAAGCCTGTTTGATGATGGTGTAAAGATATTGAAGAGGTCAAGAGCAGTAAACATTGGGAGTTGGGCTTCTTGAAAAATCTTTGTAGGGTTCCCATGTGAAATGTGAGGGGCCAACTAAACATTTGGAGGCTCACAGCCCTGGCCTGGCTTCCAAATGACCACTTGCTTTCTCCTGCTCTTCGTGCACAGGTTCCGGAATGAGGACTACACGGTACATGTGCGGCTGAATGACTACCTGGACATCATCTGTCCACATTACGAGGATGATGCTGTGGCGGATACTGCCATGGAGCGGTACACCCTATACCTGGTGGAGCATGAGCAGTACCAGCTGTGCCAACCCCAATCCAAGGACCAAGTCCGCTGGCAATGCAACCAGCCCAGTGCCAGGCATGGCCCGGAGAAGCTATCTGAGAAATTCCAGCGCTTCACGCCCTTCACCCTGGGCAAGGAGTTCAAAGAGGGACACAGCTACTACTATATCTGTGAGTCCTCAGGGCACGCACACATGCCATAGAGGGACACGGCCAGTATGATGCCTGCGCTCAGAGCTGCACACAGCCCCTTCCAATCCTGAATTGTTTTCATTCATTCACATTACAGGCATGGAGTCAGCTGCTGCTGCGTACTGGGGACTCTGCTTGGCAGAACAGGCACAGAGATGAACAAACATGATAGCGTCCCTATCCCCTAGGAAGCTGGAAAGCGACATACAGAGGAGACTGACCATTAGAACAGTTGTGATATGAAGATGTGGACCGAGGGGCCTTGGGGAAAATGACTTGGGTACCTGCCAGGCTCAGGAGGCTCAGAGAAGCATTCCTGGGGAATATGGCCCAAGAGCTTAGGACAAGCAGAAGGGTTGGCCAGGCACAAGGAGACATGTGCAAAGGGGAGCATGATATCTTCAGGGAACTCCATATGGATTCAAACTATGGCAGGAGTGATGCTGGAAGTGGGGAGAGGTGGACTGAGCAGATCATGGGGGCCTAGAAAGTGCTAAGGAGTTAGGACTTTGTCCCAAGGGCACTGGGGAGGCACTGGTGGCTTCATGAGTTGGAAAATCAGCTTGTCAGTGGAGCCTAGGCAGGGGGAGCAGAGTAGGAAGGCCCCAGCCTACTTCAGGCTGTGAGGAGGAAAGGACGGACTGTAGCAAGAGGACATGGTCTGTGTGTTTCTTAGTGCTATCTCCAAAGCCAAGGGTCATGGCAAAGAATGGAAGGTTGAGCATGAGGCAGAGAGCTGGCCAACAGGGACGCCTGGGTGGCTCAGCAGTAGAGCGTCTGTCTGCCTTTGGCTCAGGGTTGTGATCCCAGAGTCCCGGGATCGAGTCCTGTGTCAGGCTTCCTGCATGGAGCCTGCTTCTCCCTCTGCCTGTGTCTCTGCCTCTCTGTATCTCTCATGAGTAAATAAGTAAAATATTTTAAAAAATAAAAAGAAAGCAGGCCATCAACAAGGAAGGTGAGAATCACAGATGAGTGGGAAGAGAGTGCCTCAAATGAACAAGGCCTGAAAAAGGAGAGCAGGAGGTGTTTGCCACCTGTATTTTCTTCCTCCCTTGACACTCTGCGGGTTTATCTTACAGCCAAACCCATCCACCATCAGGAAGACCGGTGCTTGAAGTTGAAGGTGACAGTCAGTGGCAAAATCAGTGAGTGTCAGAGTCTTGTGGGCCTCCCTCCTCCGTCTCGCTGCTGGGCCTGTGCAAGTGATTTCGGGTGGCAGGGAGGTCCCACCCATCTGCCTCCCCAGTACTGTACCTGATCTGCTACCACTCTTGCCTTTCAGCTCACAGTCCTCAGGCCCATGCCAATCCACAAGAGAAGAGACTTCTGGCAGGTAGGTAGACTGAGCAAATTGGGCCTGAAGTCTGCTTAAAGAGGTTGGGTACAGAAGGTGGCTTCTGCACAGGCAGGGGCTGGGGAAACCTCATAGAGCTGACGGCCAGTGCCAGCAGTAGGGCCACTCACCTTGGGGGCTTTGCCCTCTCATCTTGCAGATGACCCAGAGATACAGGTTCTACATAGCATCGGTCACAGTGCTGCTCCCCGCCTCTTCCCCGTCGCCTGGGTGGTGCTGCTCCTGCCATTCCTGCTGCTGCAGACCCCATGAAGGCAGAGGCCACATCTAGCCTATGGATTGGAATGGGGCTGAGGAGCCCTGGCAGAGGCATCCTCACCTGTCCTGGGAACCATTCCCACCACATGCACAAGCTGCCATTCAGCAGCCTCAAAATGGGTCAGTATTAAGGGTTTCAACCCAAAGGAGGTCAACGAGCCTGTCAGTGCCAACCCTGCCTCCACCCTGAGGGACGGACAAAGAAGTGGAGACCGTCCTTTCCCTACCATTCCTGCCCTTAAGCCAAAGAAACAAGCTGTGCAGACGTGGCCTCTTAAGACCAGCACTGTGGGAATCAAGCTGGAAGGGGCCTGGGGTCATGAAGATGGACACTGAGTTTGGCAAAGATGCCCCTCCAAAGAGAGGCAGGATGCCCAGATGAACTGACCGAAGGAAAAGCATGAGACTGTTTCATGCTTGGGAGGCAGAGACAGGAGAGGCAGCATGCTTGGGCTGATCCAGCATCTCTCCCAAGGCTTCTAGAAGTCTTTGGAGCTGCCATGGAGAGGTTTGTAACCAGGCACTGGCATCCTGTCCCATCTGGGGACTGCACTCCCCAGAGCTGTGCCAGCAGGGGGGCTGTGCCACCCTGTGCCTAGAGTGTAGCTGTCAGGGCAGGGCCCACGTGTACAGGATCTGTATATAAACTTGATGTGTATCTGTGTTGATTTCTACAACTGGAGTTTTTTTATACTAAATAAATAAATAAATAAAGCCATGTGTTTCTTTATTTGGACCTGCTTGTCTGCCCTCACCCCACCTCCACCCTCATTTATGACCACTGAGTCCTTACCAGGTAACAACTGGGTTTAAATTTTGTTCCTTCCCTCTGAAAAGAATACATGCCCCTCCCCAGCGCCAAAGGGCAGGGTGTTTCCTCCTCTGTGCGCCAGGCAGCAGTCTTGGGAGCTCTAGGCTGCAGCCCACCCTGGAAGCCTCTACCCCCACACCCCTCCCGCACTGGGCTGCTGTTGGAGGGGTCCGGGGAACAGCAGCTGAGGCGTGGCCTGCTCCCACAGCCCCAGCCGCAGGGGAAGTTCCCAGCAGCCTAGTCGGGCAGACTAGGGGTCAGAGGCTGGCGCTCCAGCAGACTGGCCAAGGCACACAGCAGCATGGCTGAAAGCCCCGGCAAGAGGCTTCAGACCGGGGAGCCTCAAAGCCTGGGCAGGGGAGCCGTGGTCCGGGGCTCCTGGCCGCAAAGGTTCAGCAAGCTTTGCTTTGTGGGCGGCCACGTCGGTCACGGGCAAGAGACTGGAGGCTGGGGTCCGAGTGAGCCAAGGGGTAAGCAGAGCGTTGAGGGGCGGCGGGGACCCGGCAGGTCCGCGGAGCCGGGACGAGGTACCAGCTGAGACCCGGAAGGAAACATCCGACCCGGGCTTCGGCGCGCGTGAGGACCTGCAGGGGCGGGGCATGGTTCCGGCTGGACGTCCGTGTGGGCGGGGCTGCGGGCCCATTTCCGGCGGACGGCGGCGCGCGGGGGCGGAGCTCCGCCGGGGCGGGCTCCGGGCCAGCTAGTTGACGCCGGCGGGCAGCTCGGGATCCGACCCCGGGGGAGATGGAGCCGGGCGGCGTGGCTGACTCACTCCTTTCCGGGGCTTGCGTGCTCTTCACCCTCGCCATGTACTCCACCGGCCTGTGAGAGTGCGGCTGGGCTAGGCGGGGGCAGGCGCTGGAAGTCAGGAAGGGAGAGGGGACATGGACGTGGGCGCAGCCCCAGGCTGCGTCCGAAACCTGGGTCAAAGTGGATTCGGGTCGAGGGAGCCGGGGCACCTGAGGGAGAGGCCAGAGAGACGGGGCGGGGCCGAGACCTGCAGTTGTCCGGGGACGACCACAGGTGTCGGGGATCTCGACTCCCCAGCAGCCCGCTTCTCTCTTCCCATCTCTCACCTCTACTTTCGGGGCTCCATTACAGCTCGGACCTCAGGCACATGCGGATGACCCGGAGCGTGGACAATGTCCAGTTCCTGCCCTTTCTCACTACGGACATCAAGTGAGACGGGCGTCTGCGGCGGGAGAAGTTGAGGGAGGTGGGGATTGGTGGGAGGAGGAACGCCGGGTCCCCCTCCCATCCCCGTCCCGAATGACCGTCTTGTCCACTCTGCAGCAACCTGAGTTGGCTGAGTTACGGGGCCTTGAAGGGTGACGGGATCCTGATCTTCGTGAACGCCACGGGTGCTGTGCTTCAGACGCTGTATATCTTGGTGTATGTGCACTACTGCCCTCGGAAGGTAGCGGCCCTCCCTGGGACCCACCTCTGTGCTGCACACCCTGCCTTGCTGGCAGAGTAAACACTGCTTCCTAGAAGATGACAGGCTGGCACTGCCACCCTTTCCTGGAAGGCCCCTCCAGTCTGCGGTCTTGCAGTCGTCCTTCCTCCGTGAAGCCAGCCTCTGGGACTCACACACTGAGCAATCCCCCACCCCCACCCTGGCTATCTCTGGCAAGCTGGTAGTTCTACTCAGCCCCATGGTGCCTTGTTGCCCAACAAGCTGAGGGGAGCGGGCTTTTGTCTCTGAGAGTTCCTTCAGAGTCAGGACTGGGAAAAGAGTTGATTAGCTCTGCTTCCCCAATCACACCAGCATTTATTAGGTTCCTACTGTGTATACCAAGTTCACACCAATACAAGCCTTCTCTTCTAGAAACCTCCAGTGCTGGGGGTGGGGGGATCAGACATGGGTTTGTTACTGGTGGGGAGGAGGCTGGAGGCTTACCGAAGGTTACCTCCCCCACTGGAGCAGGAGAGAGGGCAGGATGAACTATTTCCAGCAGGGCCATCAGAGAGGACTCCTGGGACACCTAAAAGAAAGGTTCCTCTCTCCTCTGCAGCGGCCGGTGCTCCTTCAGACTGCAACCCTGGTGGGGGTCCTTCTCCTAGGTTTTGGCTACTTTTGGCTCCTGGTGCCCAACCTGGAGACCCAGCTTCAGCAGCTGGGCCTCTTCTGCAGTGGCTTCACCATCAGTATGTACCTCTCACCACTGGCTGACTTGGTGAGTGGGGGCTGTGCAGGGAAGTGGGGGAGATAAGAAGGGTCAGGGTCCCATAGCCAGAGACTGTAGCCTACATTCCAAAGGAAGGAAGATCCTGGAAGACAGGCAGTAGAAGTAGGTGACTGGGAGACAAGGGGGAGAGGATGTTTGATCTTTTTTTCTGAGGAATTTCTCAGACAAATGGGAACTTTATGATGTGTCTGGGATAGCAGTCTTTCATCCTTTTCCCTAGGCCAAGATCATTCAGACGAAATCAACCCAGCGTCTCTCATTCCCACTCACCATTGCCACCCTCCTCACCTCTGCCTCCTGGACCCTCTATGGGTTTCAGCTGGGCGATCCCTACATCATGGTAAGCTGAGCAGAAGGATGGGCAATAGGTGTGAAAGGTGGAAAATCCTCTCCTCATGGCAGCCCTTGTGACTTCAGGTGCCCAACCTACCAGGGATCCTCACCAGCCTTGTTCGCCTCTGGCTTTTCTGGAAGTACTCGCAGGGGCCAGACAGAAACTATCAGCTCCTGCAAACCTGAGACAGTTCACCTGCCCACTGCTCATCTTCATGCCAACCTGCTACCAAAGAGAGCTCTGTGTCTCAGCAGTCTGCTGACCAGCTCCATGAGTGCAGTGGGTTGTGGGAAAGAAAAACTAACAACTAACACTGAGACTCGAGGGACCAAAGAAAGTGTTTTGCTTGGAAGATTGGCTGAGACTTGGGAAATGAATCACTTATTTTTTATAGATTATATTTTTTAATTGTGGAGGTTGGGGTGAAATCTTCAGAGTGTGCCTTAAAATAAATTGTTGCCTACCCCTGCCCATCAAAGCTCAATCTCTTTTTGGTGATTTTCAACCTGCCTGGTTTGGTGAAGGGCAGAGGTCCACGGTCCCACCCACAGCTGGTCTTGGCCTGCTAGGTTGGCTCCTAAGAGGTATCTGAAGGAACCACGAACTTGGTGGAGGCCTTAGAACAGAGCCTGGGTGTTGGGAAGAAGAGAAGCTGAGAAGTACTTCCAGACACGGTTAACAGGACCAAGAAAGGGAAATGACACTTCTATCAGAGATCTTAAGAAGGGGTCTTTGCCTCCTTTGGAGCAAAGAGGAGGAGGGACCCACAGCTGGTACACGGAACCCCCAAGTCCTCGTTGTCTATGCTCCAACTAAACAATGTTAGAAAATAAACTTCTCTTTAATGGGCCGCGAGAGGAAAGGCTGTCGGGTAGGAATGGGCTGGGGTGTCAGAAGCGCATCCCCCTGCGGGCTAAGTCGGCGCGGGCCTCCTGGATCTGGCTCTGCAGCTCGCGGGCGGCGTCCTCACAGTCGTGAAAAGTGGCCACGCGGTAGCCCACCGTGCCCAGGGCATAGCAGCCGGCGGACACTAGCAAGTAGGCCGGGAGTGGCCACAGTACCTCCCGGCATGGCGAGGGCAGCTCCAGGCCCAGGGCCCCCGTGGTCAGGGCCGCCCAGGTGGAGCCCAGGAGCGCCAGTCCCCAAAGCCACTGCGCTAACTTCGTCATGAGCACTGCGGGGAGAGGAAGCAGAGCTCGCGGTCCCGTCCGTCCCGCGGCCCCCTCCACCTGTCCCCGTCACCCACCCTCCGAATCACCTGCCCGCGGGGCCGCTCCGCCGCGGTTCTCGCCCAGGTCGCCCCCCACCCCACCCCACCCTACCCCCGATATCGGCCCTCAAGCCGCACTCACCTTCGCCCGCGTCTCCCTAGCCCGGCGCGGCTCCTACGTCAGCGTCCGGAAGGCCTCTCGGCTCGCGCAGCCTTCTGTGAGTTGTAGTTCTCGCGGCGGCGCCTCTCGCTAGGCCTCTGCGCGGCATTCTGGGAGTTGTAGTCCTTTCTACCTCTGCCTGGCCTTTTGGAAGTTGTAGTCCTCGCGGTGGTCCTCTGGGAATAGGGGGCCTCTGAGTCCCCAGGGACTTCGGTGCCGCTTCTGTCCCTCAGGACCCCGCTCCACGGTGGCTGACGTCCTTCTGAGAACACTGTCAAACTTCTTTGTTTTTAAACTTTTTTTTTTTTATTTATTTATGATAGTCACAGAGAGAGAGAGGCAGAGACACAGGCAGAGGGAGAAGCAGGCTCCAGGCACCGGAAGCCCGACGTGGGATTCGATCCCGGGTCTCCAGGATCACGCCCCGGGCCAAAGGCAGGCGCCAAACCGCTGCGCCACCCAGGGATCCCAACACTGTCAAACTTTGCAAGAAGATGGGAATGTCACTAGTTCTCCCTAAACTTGACTCACGTATTCCTCGGGAGCTGTTCCATCCAAGGTAGTAGGTTGTCTTTAATACTTAGACGCAGGAGTTCACTGCCCTGGCGTCCTGAGGAACAGGGGCTCTAGCCGGAGGTCTTGGAGAAAAGTGTGGAGCCCCAGAATTACCCGATGGGTTCGAGCTATTGAGAGGTTTAGGGACGAATTCATGGCAGGTACATAGGAAACTACGTGAAAGAGAAGGCCGGGGGCACAGGTGCAGGCAGGTGAGGCTTACAGGCCTCAGGGGACAGGTGCAGGTCGGGTGTACACGCCGCGGAGTCTTGACAGGTTCAAGCCAAGCACAGGTGTAAGGGCAGACATCAGCAAACCTGGGCTGAGAAGGGGACTGGGGTCCACTTTGTAACCACAACATCAGGATAATTAATTTTAGGGAATTATGTAATAGATAACTACATAATTAAGATACAGGTAGAGTGCTGTGTCCAGATGCCCCCGTTTGAAGCTTTGCAGGGAGGTTGGAATTTGAGGCTGCCTCTCTGTGTGGACATGATGCACCTGGTTCAGACCTCTAGGCCACAGTGGGACGTCCCATTCTCACCCATTGGTTTCAAATCGCAAAGTCAGTACCTACAGGATATTAGAGAGTGAAGTTTCTCAGTCTCATGTCCTTGATGTTAATTAACAAAAGCAATTTTTACAGATTCACAGAGTCTTAGTAGGGACATGACATAACTCCGCTCTGAAGACTATTTTCACAGCCTTAGTAATGTAAGCACTGAGTATAGAGTTAAGTAAACATTATGATGTACTTGAATGCATGGGGGGGGTACTGAGGAGGGTCATGAATTGAAAGAACCATATCCTCATCTTCTAAAATGGAAGAAAAGAAAAAAAATAAAAATAAAAATAAAATGGAAGAAAAGAAATAATAGGACTATGTTACTAAGAAATACGAGGTGTCCCGAAGAAAGCCAAGAAGCCCAGGAGTGCCATCTAGAGCAGCACATATGGAGGTAGGAGAACTAGAACAGGGGACTGGTATTTTTCATTAAGTTCCTTATAAAACTAATTGGCTTTTTAAACTATGCAAATTCCTTTGTTAAGGTAAAAATTAAGACAAAATAAAAACATTTTTATTTTTTTAAGATTTTATTTATTTATTCATGAGAGACACAGAGAGAGAGAGGCAGAGGGAGAAGCAGGCTCCATGTAGGGAGCCCAATGTGGAACTCCATCCCAGGACTCCAGGACCACACCCTGGGCTGCAGGCGCTAATCCCCTGAGCCACCCAGTCATCCCTAAAGACATTTTTAGAAATTTGCTATATGAGGGGCACCTGGGTGGCTCACTTGGTTGAGCATCCAACTTTTTTTTTTTAAGATTTTATTTATTTATTCACAAGAGACACGGAGACATAGGCAGAGGGAGGAGAAGCAGGCTCCATGCAGAGAGCCAGATGTGGGACTCAATCCCAAGATTCTGGGATCACGCCCTGAGACAAAGGCAGACGCTCAAAAAAAAAAAAAAAAAAAAAAAAAAAAAAGGCAGACGCTCAACCACTGAGCCACCCAGGCGTCCTGAGCATCCAACTCGATCTTAGCTCAGGTCTTGAGTTGAAGGATCATGAGTTGAAGCCCCACAATGGCATGGAGACTAATTTTTTTAAATTTGCTATATGAACTTCAAAGCCCCACTCCACTCACTTCCCCATTCTGTCTAAAACCCTATTGGTGGGATCCCTGGGTGGCGCAGCGGTTTGGCGCCTGCCTTTGGCCCAGGGCGCGATCCTGGAGACCCCGGATCGAGTCCCACGTCGGGCTCCCGGTGCATGGAGCCTGCTTCTCCCTCTGCCTATGTCTCTGCCTCTCTCTCTCTCTCTCTCTCTCTCTCTCATAAATAAATAAATAAATAAATAAATAAATAAATAAATAAATAAATAAAAATTATAAAAAAAATAAAATAAAAAATAAAACCCTATTGGTTGCTCATGCAAGACCTCACTGGTCATAGTGACTTCCAGCACAGTTCAAGGGTTCAGTATCAGCTTTGTAGATCCAGAAATTCTATTTGTTCACCCAAAGAAGACCAGGCCCTGAAAGATTGCCACTCCCCAGAACAGTTTTGGGGGAAGAACATGAGAAGGGGCTTGCCCTACAACACATAATAAAATAAATTATATATTTATTTTTACTTTCCCTACAGCTCATAATATAATAAATTATGTATTTATTATATTTTATGTGCCCCATAATATATAATAAATTATGTATTTATTGTGATTATTATCTATCTTATGTGTCCTACAACACATAAGATAATAAATTATAACATAATAATAATCAGCCCTTCATTGAAGGGCTGTGATGTGTCGTGCCCTATGGGACATTGTCATGTTTAATTTTCACAGCATGCTGCAGTAGGTACTTTTATATTGCCATGTATAAATGAGGAAGCTAGAACAGATGGTAAATGATAAGTAACTTGCCCAAGGTCCTGCAGATAGTGAGCAGCAGAGCTGTGCCATCCAACTTGAAGCTCAGTGCTTAATAATTTCACCCTTCCCATCCTGGTACTTGGTCCTGAATGGGGCAGGGAGGGATCATCATGGCAGCTGACATTCACTGATTCAATGAGCACTTTCTGTGCATTATCTCATTCAATCTTCCACAGCCACCATACGATGCGGGTACTATTATCTCCACTTCACGAATGAGAGCACTGAGGCAAACGTCACAAACTGTGACTTCTGAGCTTGCAAACACTGCCACTCCAGTATAGCACTTCTCTCCCTAGATCAATGAAACAGAATAAAAACTAAGGAAATAGATTAAAAATATACCAATTTTGGGACGCCTGGGTGGCTCAGCAGTTGAACGTCTGCCTTTGGCTCTGGATGTGATCCCGGGGTTGGGGGATCGGGTCCCACATTGGGCTCCCTGCATGGAGCCTGCTTCTCCCTCTGCCTGTGTCTCTGTCTCTCTGTCTCTCCTGAATAAATGAATTTTAAAAATCTTTAAAAAAACATACCGGGGACACCTGGGTGGCTCAGCAGTTGAGCGTCTGCCTTTGGCCTGGGGCGTGATCCTGGAGACCCAGGATCGAGTCCCACATCAGGCTCCCTGCATGAAGCCTGCTTCTCCCTCTGCCTATGTCTCTGCCTGCCTCTCTCTGTCTCTCATAAATAAATAAATAAAATCTTTAGAAAAAAAAAATACCGGGACACCTGAGTGGCTCAACAGATAAAGTGCCTGCCTTCAGCCCAGGGTGTGATCCTGGAGTCCCAGGATCAAGTCCAGCATCAGGCTTTCTGCACGGAGCCTGCTTCTTCCTCTGCCTGTTTCTCTGCCTCCCTCTCTCTCTGTCTGTGTCTCTCATGAATGAATAAATAAAATATTAAAAAAAATAAAACAAAAATAAAAAAAATACCAATTTAGCATATGATAGAGATGGCAACTCAAGCAAATAAGAGAAGATGGATGATTTAAAAACCATTTGCAGGGACTCCTGGGTGGCTCAGCGGTTGAGCGTCTGCCTTCAGCTCAGGGCGTGATCCTGGTCCAGGGATCGAGTCCCACATTGGGCTCTCTGTGTAGAGCCTGATTCTCCCTATGTGTATGTCTCTGCCTCTCTCTGTGTCTCTCATGAATAAATCAATAAAATCTTTTTTAAAAAAAGTTTGGGATTTTAGGGGCGCCTGGGTGGCTCAGTTGGTTAAGCATCTGACTCTTGATCTCAGTTCAGATCCTGATCTCAGGGTCATGAATTCAAGCCTCAAGCTGGGCTCCATGCTGGGTGTGGAGACTATTAAAAAAAAAGTTTGGGGGTTCCCTGGGTGGCTCAGCAGTTTAGCTCCTGCCTTCAGCCCAGGATGTGATCCTGGAGACTTGGGATCGAGTCCCACGTCGGGCTCCCTGCATGGAGCCTGCTTCTCCCTCTGCCTGTGTCTCTGCCTCTCTCTCTCTGTCTCTCATGAATAAATAAATATTTTTTTAAAAAATGGGGGATTTTAGAGCCTTGTTATCCCGAGGTTGGGTCCCTGCTCTTACTATTCCTTAGCTGTATGACCTTGGGCAAATAACATAACCTTCCTGAGCCTCAATTTCCCCATCTAAATACTGGAGCCAGTCATTGGTCCTCCCCCCAGGTTGCCATAGAGATGGAAGGAGAGAATGTAGGTACGATGCTTACAACAATATGCAGCCCGTGGTAAGCATGCACTGGGCGTTGGTCCCTCTAGTTACGAATAGTTATCATCACTCACCTTCCCAGCCTACCTAGCATCTTCTGGGATAAATTACTTCTATGGATGGCTCTGCTCCTGCTTGCTGGTGGGGGGGGGGGGGGGTGCGGATTTCAGCTTTTGCAAGCTTTGGTGTCAGAGAAAGAAAATCCAGACCTGGGTGGCCTCATTCAACAGGGCTTTGAAGACAGGGGGATGGGCAAAACCAGACATGGCATGGATGAGGGCTTGGCTTCTGGGGCCAGGCTCCACAGATACCCTGAAGCCTCCCTTGCTGGAACAAGGCATGAGAGCTGTTCAGGTAGGGGAGGGGAGGGATGCAGGG